AATCGGGAAGAGGAGAAGTCATGAGCAAGTGATGGAAAGTATGGAGGTGGGAGCGTCTGCAGCTGCAGCTGCTTCCTCTCAGTTTCAGAGACAGCAGCGCTCAGGCTCAGGCTCAGGCTCCGGCTCCGGCTCAGGTCGCTGGAGAAAGATAAGAGATGTCAAGAACGGCGAGGATGATGCTGAGCTTCATCACATATCGGGGAGGATGTTCATGAATGGTGCTAGTAAAATCGCCTGTTTGTACACCCAACAGGGCAAGAAAGGAACCAATCAAGACGCCATGATTGTTTGGGAGATCCGAAATTTGCTTTCTCTTCTTATCTATTTCTTTAATTATTTCCTTTTCTAACTCTTATTATCGTACTTCTTACTTAATCCCCCAATTACAACGCATGTCCAATCGCATTCCCATAGTAAAGATCCAACTTGGATAATAGAATACTTGCAACTTTTAAAGTTCAATTCTTTAGGATAATTGAATACTTTATCTGGAAATGGCTCTCTGGGTATTTTCTCCCTTGTACTTTTCTCTCATCCATGGGTTAGGATAAATTTTTGGAGGATCTGGATATGATAGATGTTGCCTTTTGAAACAAAGCAAGAATAATTAGTTCAATGATTACTATTTTGATGCAAAAGGATAATTTGTTTCCCAATGTAGAACCAAACATTGCTCTGTGAGGTGCAAAATATTATTTGACACCATGTCAGGCCCACCTGACTGCTATCCACACTGATAAGATTGCTAGTCTTCTATGAAGGTCAATTTCCTTGAGGTATAACTCGTGAGTGAATAGTAGGATTATGGACTTTTAAGAAAGAGAACCCGGAATTTAAAATGCAGGAAAATGCCTCTTGTGATTGTTCATGTTCGAGAACTAAATATTCATTCGCAACTTTTAGTGAGAGGTATTAAAATGCTAGAACCAAGTTTCATGTTAACATTTGGCATTTGGGAGATGAATCTATTGAGCTTAAGTATAGTCCAAGCTTTAGTTTTCTCCTTTTCTCTTACCATTACCCCTGTAACTTTAACAATCCGTAGGGATTACGCATCTGCATTAGCCTGCATAAACCTGATTCATTATTTTCCCACATATACTCTACAGTGGTAAGCTGATTTTCTTCTTATTAGCATGAATTTTATTGTAGTCATTCTTTTTCTACTAGTTACATGTCCAAAACAGCCTTTTCACTTCTTGATGGATGAGCATTTCCTTTTGCATGACCTTGCTTATGTAAACTGTTAGTGTACTGGTGTGTCATGCCTGAACTGAATCATTGTGCTCTTCTTGCAGTATTTAGTAGTCAGTTTAGTAAATGAGATTTTTTTTATGCAAGACAATTTTGTATCAATTTTTTTCTTTTAAAAAAAATTAGTGAATCACTTAACATAAGTAGATTGTCTTACATTCATTTGAAAAATTCCATCACTCCTTCCTGAACCAAACATGAATCTTTTGATTTATTTGGCTTTCACGTCTCTTTTTAGCGTAACTATTTTACTGTTATTGTTCCAGTAGTTATTTTTCAAATTCTTCTATCTCCTGGATTGCTTACATTCAGAGCATGGTGACATTTATACTCAGGCATGCTGTCTAATTCTATTCGTGTATTTTGCTTGATTAATACAAGATCATTCTGCTCCTTGTAGATGTAAACAATTAACATCCTTTCTTGCTCTCTGTTTTTGGCAGTGGTGTATCTAACTGTAGGTTGGAATGGTTTTATTTCAGAATTTCAGCTCAAGAAATGATACAGTTTTTTGTGGGGTATTTGACGGTCATGGTCCTTTGGGTCATATGGTTGCAAAGAAAGTTCGAGATTCTCTTCCTCTTATACTGTGTACTCAGTGGAAAGCTACTTTGAATGCTGAGACTGAAAATGCTCCTGGAAGTACATGTATAGATGAAACTGGATCCATGAGCATGGATGATGAATGGCATGAACCGGAGGTTGAGGGAAAAGAAAAGCTCCCTGAGATGTATCTTCCACTTAAAAAATCTATGTTGAAAGCTTTTAAGTTAATGGATAAGGAGTTGAAGTTGCATCCAAGAATTGATTGCTTCTGTAGTGGATCGACAGCTGTTGCTCTGATCAAGCAGGTAGTTTGTAAGCTTACAACTCTTTTATTTTTGGTTTGGGGGTCAGATGGGGAAGTAATAGGTACCGTCGTTTTGGAGGTTCTAGCATTACTTTAACTGTCCATAAATTGACAATACTTTTCTCAGTCTTCATTGAATGTTTTCAATTTTTCTTAATAGTTGTTCCTTAGATGCTTCAATGATTCAGTCTCAATGGAAATTAATATCCTTATGCCAACTTCAATTTGGTATTTTCAGGAATGACCAAAGGGTTAGCATAGGTAACTCATTCTTTGTCGGAAAGTTGATTGCCAAGTAATTGTTATGCTACTGTGCTGAATCTTATACGCTCGATAATATGGATAATGTTTGCATCAGTTGGGGAAGTTGGAAGGAATTAGAATTTATTTTGCAGTCAGATTTCATATTTGTTATGAGTAGTCTTGAGTCAGTTTCAGCATCAAATTGATGAAGGCCAAGTTCTGAAACATTAATTCGAAGCGGTGTATGACAAATTTTGTTCTGCTACCTGATAAATAATAGGGAGCACCACATATTATTGTTCTGCTAGCTGATAAATAATAGGGGGCACCACATATTAGGTTACTTTGATACAATGTACTTTGTTTTGAAAATATGCTTTTTGAGCTTTAGTACCAAGTATAAAGAATGCAAAGTTTATTGACTGTAAATTGTGGTCATCTCCTCATTTTACACTTCCTGATTCATGATGAGCAAAGCATATGGTATTATCTTGTCTTATCTTAAAGTATTCTGAGTTTTGCTACTTCCAACAAGATAAAGCTCGAGGAGATCATTCTTCTTCACAATAGTCCCAAGAAAAACTACTAACAACATTCAAAGAGTCATTATTGGAGCCTTAACTCTGATTTTAAGTTCAAAAGATATCCCTTTTGTAGGCTTCGTAAATTACTTTATCCTTCTCACGTCAATTGATAATTTGGCTGTATAAGCTTTGAAAAAGACAGATTCATATCAACCTGGTTTAGAACAGTAAGGAAAGAAAGTTTTACATTGAATTAAGACAAATACTCTGATATAAACACTTTAGAATCCAAAATTTTGCACTGATAACATAATAACTAATAGGGTAACGGAAAATATGAGATAACTATCTTGGCAAATTAGTTCTTAGGAGCCATACCTTCCAGGGTTTTGGGAGAACAGGGATGAACTTCTGACAGTTTTTCATTACAAGTCAGAAGCTATTTTAAGTTAATATTTATAGAATGCAAGACATACACAAGAGAAAAGTTAATCCCTGGTTTCCCAATCCTAAAACTTCTAAGCCAATCCTGCTTGATTTCCAAGAAAAATGAAGCTAAATTCCTAATCTTCTAAGTATAAGTTTTTCTTAATAATCTCATTCGATTTCCTACTTCTAGAAAATTAAAATTATAAAATAGTCTAGGGTAACACTAAGTTTTTGTACATCCAAACTATTGAAGTTACAAATTTTGGTTATTTGCATTGTCATTCATCCACCCTTGAGATTTCTGAAATTGTGAGTTTAAAAACGTTGAACTTGGGAAAAGTTTTAGCAAAATAATATGATTAGAATTCTTTAGTACGAGTATGCATGATGTTGAAGAAAAATGTGTCTTGAAAGTTCTTGAAAAGATAAATACCCTTAATTCTCCTATCATGCTCACTCCCCAGTCATCCACATAAATCCTCCTGGTAACTTCCTCTTAGCAAGTTCAACTTAAGTTCAAGAAATTATCGCTCTTGGAATTTGCCAATCGATGAGTTTTTGCTCGCATGACCCTTTTAGGCCACAATGCCTGAGGAAGTCATCACCAATATATTTGGTATTAGCATGCATATGTCTTTTTTAAGATGATAAATAAATTATTACATAGAGATTGCGGTTTTTGTTGCATTGCTGAATGTTGGGACTTATAAATTGCCTTATGGATTGTTTAAGCTATGATCTCTTCCAATAAATATTTAGAATATTACATGAACAAGTTGAGGAATTTACTGGAATGTCTTTTAGGGTAAGGATCTTGTGATTGGGAATCTTGGTGATTCAAGAGCAGTTCTTGCCATGAGAGACAAAGACAGGTCTTTAGTTGCTGTACAGTTAACCGTGGATTTGAAGCCTGATTTGCCAAGTAAGCCCTCCTCTCTCTATTATGCAAAAATGCACAAATTTGTCTGCCCGTTCGGACAAGTTGCTCATTATTGCGCTTTGGATGTGAATTTTAATTATGTATGGGAGAGGTGATGCTCCTCTTTGCAGCTGATATTTTTATTCATCAGTAAAATTTTGTTTGTTTCCTTATTAAGGAGAAGCGGCCAGGATCCAGCAATGCAAAGGAAGGGTCTTTGCGTTGCAAGATGAGCCAGAGGTTGCACGAGTATGGTTGCCCAATAATGATTCACCTGGTTTGGCAATGGCTAGAGCTTTTGGTGACTTTTGTCTGAAGGATTTTGGATTAATTTCTGTACCGGATGTTTACTACCGTCACCTTACTGAAAGAGACGAATTCATTATTCTCGCAACTGATGGGGTATTTTTCTGTTCATAATTCTCTGACCTCAAATAATCTTTGCTTTGAATCTACAATTTTCAGTGTCATTTTTAACCGCATCAACTAGGTTTGGTTGGGAAATGACAAAGTCAAATTTTAGATATTTCTTTTTGCCTGTTTTTGGTTTATTTCTCATATTTCCATGTTACATGCTGATGCTATTCAGCCAGGTTAATGCTTTGGCCAAACGTTTCCAATGAAATTAAGTAATTTATGGGGAATTAGCCTGCCTGCCTGCAATCTTCAATCAGTTTTTTCTTCTCATCTTCTGCTTTATTTTATAAGAAAAAGTTATGAAATTCCATTTTTAGTAATTCGAAGCTAATGCTATAGGTTTGGGATGTCCTATCAAATAAAGAAGCTGTGGATGTAGTGGCTTCAGCCCCTAGTCAGGCAACAGCTGCCAGAGCTCTTGTAGATTGTGCTGTTCGAGCTTGGAGGCTTAAATACCCTACTTCTAAGAATGATGATTGTGCTGTTGTATGCCTATTTCTAGATCATATATCTGCAGCCAACACGGCCGTGGTAGAATATAAGATGACAAGAAATCCTGATGAGCCAATAGAGAAGGCAGTCATAGTAGACTCAAAAAATGAGGGCCTAAACGTCAATGAAAAGTCTCAGGCTTCTTTTCTAGAGTCTTCGGGTACTTTACAATTAGGAGCAGATGAGATTGTTCCTGCCAGCGAACAAGTCAATGAAACAGTTTCTGGAAAGTCCGAGATTCAATCTAAGAGGAGCCTAGCTGAGTGCATTTCTAATGCTGATGATGATGAATGGTCAGCCTTGGAAGGTATCACCAGGGTTAATAGTCTTTTAAGCCTTCCAAGATTTCTATCTGCGGATAAAAGATCGACCAGTTGGAGAAAGTGGTTATGAAGCATGTTACGGCTGATAACCCCAGACTTCATTGCATTCGTTTGAGCAGGATAAAACTTGAGAGATTCTCATGTCAGAACTAAATGGTTGAATCTGGCTTCTCAGCAATCAAGGCTGATAACCCTCGAGAAAAGATGGAAGCCGATGAAAGGCAAATTCCTTTCCATGATCCACACGAGGATCCACCCATGATTTCATATGTGAATGTCCAATTTGGCTAAGCACCTTGGCAGATCTTGTGGGTGGTATTGAGCACTACAGATGAAATAGATGATGTTGGCTGTCTGATTAAACCCGACTTAAATCTTTTGCCTTGAAAAATTGGTCTCAGAATTTGTTGGAAGAGAAACTTGTCTTTGTTTGTTTGTTAAAATATTCTTTTTTTTTTTTCCTTTTGCTTACTGAATAAACTGCTACTTGTTATGGGAGAATGAAGAATGCTGATCCAAAAGGTCTTATGAAATTACTGTAAACTATTTCTGGTGCGTGCTAATGATCAGCTGCAGAGTTGATCAGTTCTAAACCCAGATTAAAATTCTCATTTTTATTGGTACTTGCTTAATCATATAATAATTTGATACTATTTAAATAAGAAATGAACAAAAAGAAGAGAGACAGGAGGACCCATTTTAATGGTGGACTTTTACAGCATGTCAAATCATTCATACCTAATAATAATAATAAAAATAAAAGGAGCAGGAAGAAGGCTACAAAATTCAAAGTAAGAGCAGAGCAGCTTTTCAATGCTTACACTCCACAATATTATACAATATATTATACACCCCCCCCCTCTGAATTCCAAACTCCATCCCTCGCAATCCCATCCCATGCATATACCGCCACATCACTCCATAAATCCAAAGCTGCACCGCGAATATCGCTTCTTTTTCTTATGCTATCTACTTAATTTGTACTACCACCCATTATTATATATCTATATATATACACTCACACACACACACCCCCACACAGCTATTTTTATCATCCTTCTGTTCTTATCTTGATTGAAGGGAAGTCCCAAAACACAGCTAGGGTTGTAAGCTAATACTTCCTAGCTTAGCTAATTAAAACTCAAAAACTCTCTCCACCTATATTATATATATATATATGTATATAGACACATACAATCAGGCACGAACATAAAGAATAGTGAATTCATTGGTTCAATGAGATCAGTTATTTAAAAAAATTAAATTATTCTATATCCTAAAGCTTAATCTGCCCATGACACAATTTTATCAAGCTGACGGATTCTTTCAAATGGTGATGGTTTCTGAAATACCGAGTAAAAATTTCTATCTGCCTGCAATTAGGTTAAATTCCTATTATTTTTTGAAGATAAATAAAATGATATAAACTAATTCATGTATTTAGGGTTTAAATCAAATAAATAGTATTCAAATTAGTTGCATTAATTTGTTTTGACATCAAGTATTGATAATTCGTGTTTCCTGCAGCACTACTTTTTCAGTGCTTACTGTTTGGATCACTGCTAAATCATCGACCTGAGTTGAGCAGGTTGGAAAGCAATATAATTTCTGAAGCATGAGTATCCGCCCTGGCCGTACCTCTCAACCTAAAAGATTACCCACTATCAAACATATATACATATATATACACACACACATATACATATATGTACATACATACATACATTACATACAGATGCAGAAACCCACGAAGTTAAGCTACAGACGATACTCAAATATTCCAGCAAGCGAATATACTGTTCTTTATGGGGTAAGATCCTACGTACCACAGATAACTTAAATATTACTGCAGAGTAAATAATTAATGATATTTCACATTCCTAAATTATTTATTTTTAACCTTATACTAACTTTTATTTATTATAATCATCATCAATATTTTTTAATAAATACATATAAATTTTATTAATCAGATAATACATGCAGATATATCATTCTTAATTAAGAAGATACGAGAGAAACATGTATAACTCAGAACACCAACTTACACCCTAATAGAAGTCAATAAAATTACTCAAACATCGTTCAAAGAAAAAATAGTTATATCAATATATATATATATATATATTCTAAAAAAAGTTCGTCATTTTTAATTATTATTATTTATAATTAATTAACAAAATGACGGCAGACAAGTGTTTGTTTGGAGCCCCAGTCTGTGGCGAATGATCCAAGTACTCTTGGCACTGTTGCATGCAGCGCATACAGGCCAATACTCAAGAATATGCGATACTTCTGTATATCTATATATATATATATAAAGTATATATACGATAATATTGATCATTAATATCAGTTTAACTAGCTAGTAACTTGCAGAGAAGAAAAAGCAAAGAAAGTAAGCAGACACATGAACATGATGCATGTACATGTACATATATATATATATATATATAGGTATGCGAATATATATAAATGGGCGTGGCATGGAGACAAGAGGAGTGAAAGGAGGGGTTGCTTGCATGTGTTAATGATCATGATTTACAGATTACAGTGCTGACACATAACCAAAAGAGATGGGGGTGGTTGATTCCTGCAAGCAAACCTTACACCTGATTCCATCACCATTCATGGCATCTATTCTTTATACCACCCTCCTTATAATTAACCCTACTTCAACTCATTTCTTATTTTTCTTTAATTAGATATTACATAATACACACATCATTATTTAAAGAAAATACTTTATAATAATTAAATTTTACGTAATTTTCATTATCTTAAACATTCAATCTAATTTTTTTAATATAAGTATGATTATTTACGATTAATTTATCCCGATTCAAGTGATTTCTTGTTAATTTCAAAAGTTCTAAAATTGGTATATCTTGACATTCTCATAGTTAGGATAAACATGTTAAAAATAATAATTTGTAAATTTAGAAAACTATTTACCTTATTAAGAAATTAAAAATAATAATTTACAAATTCGAAAGACTTTATATCTTACAAAAAAAATTAATCTTATAAATATCTATCTTTTAATTTTTTTTTTGGGTGATCATAGTTTACGAATTAAATTTTAATATTTATTTTTTGAAATTTTTTATAGGATTATAGTTCATAAAATAGAGTTAATTATAATTAATATATTTTTAAAATTTTAACAATTTTATTAATGTTTATATATACCCACATCCTTTTTTATAACAATCATAAATAAAAACTTGACTACTACTATTAATTTCTCTTATTCTTTTTCTCATTTTTAAAAGGAAGTAATTTGGGTTATGAAATTTTAAATTTTTCTATAAGAGTAAGAACTGCTGCATTTTGAGATTTTTGAAAAATTCCCCTGCATGGGTTTATCCCAAGATTAAATAGACGATTAGTATGTAGCTGATCAAGGTATGAACAACCATGTTATGTATATATATATATATATATATATATGAATATCGGTGAAAATTATGAAATAGGAGTAGTGGGGTGTGGTTGTCCCCTGCCATCCACGTGGTAAGAAAAAGTCTTCTTATCTTTCTTTTTGATGTCTATATCTATCTATCCATCTTTCCATCGTCTTGAGATAAGCCAGCGAATCCAACAAACGGACAATCCTCGTCCAGTACCCAGTCTAATACATATATATATATATATATATATACACATATTCATTTTGGGTTTTTACCATTTCATTCATGTAAAAATTCCTCATTTAAGACTTTGCGTGTTTTTCTCCCTGCAAACTGCAAATCCTCTTGCGTGTTTTTTGTTCAACGGATCATCAAACTGCTCCCTCCTAATTCTTCCTTCTACTTCACATTACTTAACTTTATCCACGCCATGTATATATATATATATATATATATACATAAACACGTCTGTTATACATATCTACATATATATATATTCCAAATTCTAAAAAAACGAAAACTCATTTGGTAGATTCTTTTTTCCTCATAACCCTTCTATATAAATTACGGATCTTACAAAGCCTCTCTCTCTCTCTCTATATATATATATATATATTTATAGGTAATTAACTTAAAGCATATTACACTTCCTCTGCATCGACTTGTCTGCAGCTTCAACTGTCTCGTAGTCATGGTTTATGCGAGCTTTCTTTTCCGTATTCCTTTCTGATCTTAATCAATTAATTTATATTTTAAAAAAAATCTAAAAAAACACTTAAATATATTATATATACGTATAAATTACAAGGTACGATGTTTACATAATTTATTTTAAGATAATTATTTCTTTCACTATGTATAATTTCGAACTAATTTTCTTAATATTTTCACTTTGATATTTTTCTTAACTTCAAAAATAATCTTTTCTAAGGCAGTTCAAATCACCATTCAATAAGTACAACATATATATATATATATATATATATGTAAGTGAGTGTAAACTAAAAAGGGGAGTAGGGAATCTAATAGGAAGCTAGGAGACAAGAGACAAATAAAAGGAGAGAAACCTGGCTTTCATATGAAAGATTCTCTGGTAGAATTAAATGATTTATTGGGATTTTCCATTTTGGTAATCTATCATGTGAAAAAAGGAATTGCAACTTGGCTTCTCATCACCATCTATAGCTCTAAATCCCAGGCCTTGATACTCTCTTCCTCCAACCGAGTTAATAAAGTGCAACCATCTTTACCCTTTCCAATCCATATATCTATATACATACATATATATATATATATACATACAATGATATTTCATGTTTGGGATTCCACACAACTCATCGTCTGGGGAATGACTTGTCATGTTTGCTTAAGTACTTTTGTTTGTTCAGCGGAATCCATGCACTAGTCTCTGTTAATTAATATATAGCAGCTGATCTGGCTGTTACAGTATCTATCCAATTAAGAGAGACATATGAAGTCAGTGGCTTACCTTCTAATCTTATGTCGAGGTGGTTAACAAGAGCCGAGAGGTGTTAATAGTAAAAATTAAACGAATGTTATGAATATAATAATTAATATATACTTTTTTAAGTTTTCTTAAATGGTTCATGTATCTATCGTCATTAA